CCACATGCGTCTGACGAGGTGGGTATTCACTCACGAAAGCTTATGCTCCAATACTTCTGTTAGTCTTAAAGGTGCCACAGGACTCTCTGTTGCTTTTTAAAATGATTACGGGTTTGGAATGGGTCCCATATGAGGAGAGATTAAAGAGACTAGGACTTTTCAGCTTGGAAAAGAAGAGACTAAGGGGGGATATGATAGAGGTATATAAAATCATGAGTGGTGTGGAGAAAGTGAATAAGGAAAAGTTATTTACTTGTTCCCATAATATAAGAACTAGGGGCCACCAAATGAAATTAATGGGCAGCAGGTTTAAAACAAATAAAAGGAAGTTCTTCTTCACACAGTGCACAGTCAATGTGTGGAACTCCTTGCCTGAGGAGGTTGTGAAGGCTAGGACTATAACAGGGTTTAAAAGAGAACTAGATAAATTCACGGAGGTTAAGTTCATTAATGGCTATTAGCCAGGATGGGTAAGAAATGGTGGCCCTAGCCTCTGTTCATCAGAGGGTGGAAATGGATGGCAGGAGAGAGATCATTTGATCATTACCTGTTAGGTTCACTCCCTCTGGGAAACCTGGCATTAGCCACTGTCGGCAGACAGGATACTGGGCTGGATGGACCTTTGATCTGACCCAGTATCGCTGTTCTTATGTTCTTAAGATCAACCACTATGAACTCGAAACGGTGAACAAGTTCATATATCTGAGGGCCACTATCGCAGCCAACCTCTCACCTGAAATAGAACTCAAAATCCACATCAGAAAAACTGCCGCAACACTATCTAGACTGAGCAAGAGGGCATGACAAAACAGCAAACTGACATAATACACACAGAACTGTGTGTATCGTGCATGTGTTATCAGTACACTTTTGTATGGGAGCGAGACATGGACACTATACGCTCATCAGGAAAAGAGGCTCAACAGCTTTCCTATGCGTTGCCTTCATTGAATCTTTGGACTCTCCGGGAGGGATAGAGCCACCAACACTGAGGTGCTCAAGCAGGCCAGCATACCCAGCATGCAAACACTCCTCAGAGATGCCACTGCTAGTTTGGGCATGTGCCGAATAAATGATGGGCGCATCCCAAAGGACATCCTCTACGGCGAACTGACATCTGGAAAAAGACCCAAGGATGCCCAAAATTGTGTTTCAATGATGTGTGCAAGCGAGACCTCAAAGAAATGGACATGGATGTGGATTACTGAGAAGGTCACACTCAGTACAGCAGCCTTAGGAAAGAAAAGCGCTATAAAGGTCTCCAGAGTTACAAGAGGAAGCAGTCCAGCTTAGCAGAGAAAAGAGCTCGCAGAAGGCAGAGCCCAAAGGGATGAAACATCATCTTTAAATGTGACAGATGCAGCAGAGATTGTCTCTCTCGAGTGGGTCACTTCTGCCACAGTTGCCATAAAACGAATTAAGTACATTCTTTACCTCTTGGGGCACATACCCAGGGTCTCTCGAGATTGAAGGATGCCTACTACTACTATATGAATGCTTTTATAATAACTTTCTTGTATTAAAATTAATCCTCTGCTTACCAGTTATTTAACTACATAGGCATCTTTAGGTGTTACTAAACACTCTTCACAACTAGGCACTGGGAATCAGAATGAGTGCAAGCATAATTGTAATTATCCATACAATGGCTTCATTGAAACAAATGAAGAGAGGAGTTCATCAGTAATACAAATTGGAGTGTGCAGGAAGGGATGCCATTTACATTACAGCAAATGTTCCTCAAGCTGAAAGAATGGGACCCCTCGTTTTCCTTGTGCTGGGGTTAGAATCACTAGCAAGGAGGTAGCACTTCCTTCCCTTTAGGACAAACACGGATCCATGTCATAGACGAGTCCATTCTCAGCTTTTCTGCTTTACTCTCTGGATTTCCTTCTGTCTGATCAAAAAATGGCATAGTAGGTTTGCATGTTTATTGTCCTTCAGAGACTCTAGATGACATGTTCAGGTTTCAGGAAAAAGAAGATTTATTTCCTAACAGCCAGATCTGCAAATTTAACCTACTTACCAGCAAGAGGCTCATCTGGCCCTCAGTACTACAGCCCCTGTAAACCCCTTTTCTTCTTTTCTCAAAATCAAAGACTAAAAGTGAAAATCTGCATGACTAGTTCTGTGTTGATTATTGTTATGAGAAATGCAAAGATTAAAAACATGATAGGACATTGTATATACAAAATTATATCCACATCTATGTGAAAGCAGAAAGCTATTTAGGTACTCTACCATTCTTCCCACCATCTTCACAATCAGCATCACACTCGTCATCTTTATTGTCCTGTAAGTCACTTCTTATGGAAAGCTTTTTCTCCACCCATCCTTTTTTCCTTAAACTTCTACGAATTACTGGGTAGGGTCCACAGACGGTAAAAATTTTCTTTTCCTAAGATTGCAAGCAGATACTTTAAAATGAAAACATAGACACTGCAAAAATATTATGGTTTATCTTTTATAAGTAAGGTCTACATCAACAGTAGTGCAATGCCTTTGAAGCTGCAAGCACTACAATTTAAAACCGGAGGGGAAACACTGAAGATGTATTCATTGGATTTCAGTAGCACCTACAACATCTTAGGAGCTGTCCACACACACACACACACACACACACACACACACACACACACACACAAC